CTCTCTAGTTGCCAGCTTCCAGGTTTTGTTTTGGTTTGAAAAATCTCAGTGCTTTGATTAGCGCTCAGACAGAGGAATGTTGTTTAAATGAACCCGGTCATTAGGGGACATCACAGAAAAGACCTGGCTTTTGAGCTGCTTCTGTGATGGCCATAAGGGCTGATTGATGTGAAACAATTATCTGATGCATGAGATGTAATCAAGACTGAATTTCTGTGGCTGACTCTGAAGATGACTGAGCATCCATAGATCACAGGATCAATTAGGCTGGAATAGATCTCCAAGCTCATCGAGTCTAGGCTTTGACCAATCCCCATCATGTCAACTGAAACCATAGCACTAAGGGCCCTGTCCAGTAATTTCTTGAATATCTCCATTGTTCTTGACTCCTCCACTTCTCTGTCAGCCCATTCCAATGCTTGACAACCCTTTCCATTAAGAAATTCTTCCCAATGTCCAACCTGAACCTCCCCTGATGCAGCTGCGTCTTCTTGTCTGTCACCAGCTGTCTGGGAGAACAGGCCAACCTCCACCTTTCCTTTTGGGTAGAGGTAGATCTCTCAGGCCAGTTTTTTCCTCTGAATTGTAAGGGAAAGTACTTTTCATAATTAAATGAGCCATTTAATTAAATTAAATTAACAAGAAAAAGAGAACACAGTGACTCAATAATTTTGTACTGTGCAGTTGTTCTGATAGTAACTGAAAGCATCTATGTCAAGCAAAATGCATCTAAAATAGACCAGCTTTTGCAGACTTACTGAAAACAAAATTTAGAATGACATGGGAAAAGAATACACAGGAAAGATTTTTGACAGCCCAGAGAAAGATATTATCTTATGTCTTGTGATGGCTTGAGGTGAGCTGCAAGACCTTGCTCATCTTCGTATAATTTTGGTTTTCAAATTTTCGGTGTTGCTGTGTCCACTTGCATAGCCACAGTATCTACTACAGGATCCTAAAGCCCAATAGTATGAGTCATGACAGAGGAAACTATATGGACTTGATCTTCAGAAAGCATATTAGAAGGCTTGCATATTTATTTAGTCTCTTGTGTAAATGTAAGTCAATGTGTGACTGATGGTAGATTCTGACTGTGGATTCATACTGTCTTGTTATAATGGTAAACATTAATGAGACATGGGCCAAACTTAGAGGAAGGATCATTTTACACATAGAGGATTCATAAGGACCTTGATATAAGTGAGGAAGTCAGATTAAGGTTCTCATGCATATAAACTACAAATACAAAATTCAGTGCTAAATGATGAAGTAAAAATCACTTTGAAATCAAGTTTTTTTCCACCCAGTATTCACTGGTGTAATCTTACTATCATAGGGCTTATCCATATACATGAACAGATTTGAAATCCTTTCAATTATTAATTAAATAAATAAAGGATTTAATTCATCTCTTCCAACAATTAAAAAAGGAAAAAGGTTTACGATGGAACAATATAATCCCATCATTTATTAAAGATTAAAAACCCATGCTTTCTCATCCAAAACCGCTGAATTACAGAGTTCTTTACTTCCAATTTCTTGTGTTACCAGAGAAAATCCACTCAAATAATGAAAATGATCAGTAGTTGCACCTCACAGAACTGCCTCTTCCTTCTCTGTCATTGATGAATTCAACACCCTCCCACTCATGCTTTAATTTGAAGTGTCTTACTACCCAATGGACTAAAGCTGTCCCACTGTTCAATATTAAAATTCCCTACTTCACCTATCTGAAGTATGTGTTTTATGTATTGAACAAGATGTTTGTATACGTTGAACAGGATGTTTTCTAATTTTCGAGGCTGGCCAGTTTAACAGACTTGGACTGCCTTTACCTATCTCACTTCAGGTGTTCTCAAAACCCCTCTAATTGGCAAAATCAAATAAAACACTGGGAGGGAAGGAAGTAGCAGTTTTGCTATCTGTCCATTTGTCCAGTAGCTCTTTACTACAGGATAATTACCGTATTCCTGTGTATGCAGATTGCGATGGGAGGGCATTTGAAAGCCCTCAGTCTTTTGTTGTAGAGAAAGTATTTTCCTGGTCTTTATCAGGAACTGCCCATCTTGGACAGAGTAAAGGAAATTCTATGCAGCAAGCTCCAAAGGCTGCCAGAATTCTGGTGCTCACCCTTTCAGCATCAAACAATTCAGCTGGCAGCAGAAGCCGCAAGAGGGCTCCCTGCTCTTCTCACGACCCTCTCAGATAATTTGGATGTTCCTGTCCTGCTGTCTTTCCTCAGCAGGAGAGAGTTGTTTCCACTGTCCTGCCCTGCTCCCTGCTGCACATGTTGCACTGCCTCTCCCCACCTCTGTTCTCAAAGATCCACCACCTGTGGAGCACCACTGCCTGGTTCAAGGGGAATTCATCCAAGGCCATCCATGGAGGCCCTCCTGTCCAATGCTGCCCTTCCATCACAGCTTTAGTTTCAAGGGATTTGATCCCAATCAGAATTGATGCCACTTCACACAGATTGTAAACAGGAAAAGAGGCAAACAACCAACCTAAGACAATTTTGTACCTGACCAGCTAAGATGCTAAAGGTAAACTTTTTTCTGAAATTGTTTTTAATATGGTAGGAAAACAAAAGTGTGCTTAAAAGAAAATAAAAGGTAAAAGTCATTCTTATACACTTAGTGGACTTTTTCAAATGTTACTAGCTTGTGCAAGTCTCATCAGAAGACTACAAGATGTGATTGGCAGGATGCTAGCAGGTCTGTTGATGAACTTTTAACATATGCCTTCATCAGAGCTAATTACTATCAGTTAACTGCTCTGTTTATGATGTTTTTCTAAATTAATTATGCAATTTCTACATTGTTTAAATATTAAGTGGATAAAATTTTATATATATGCACACTATGTTTCCTTTAGCCCTTAAATAGCTTTTGAGTGTATCACTGTTACTACAGCAATATCTAAGCGTACCATTTATATAAATTTTAAAACTCAGAAGAACATGGAAGACTCTTTTGCTGTTGTTTGCCTTTTGCATAAGACAGAAGCCCAAATATCCAGTATTTTACATCACAGACTCATTCTAGAGAGGCTGAAGCAGGTTTTGGAAGGCTTGGAGAGAGCAGACCTAATGAGATCCACAATGACTGACTGTGAATTAATTGTACAAAAAGCATGAGCACAAATGAAAATATTCAGTGTAATCAGGAGGATCCTTGTCCCTACTCCTAATTCCAGTTAGTAGGCTGGTTTACTTTATTTCTTGTGGGAGATGTCCTGTCTCACAGATAAAAAAACAATATGAAGTGAGACAAATAGCACATTCGTGATGGAAAATCCCTCACATAGGAAATGCAGGAGAAAATTGAGCTTTTTTTCATATTAGCCTATTATGCAGTCATGTGAACTTCTATGACTTCAATATAGGCCTCAAGGTATTCAATAAAATCTACTTGTAACTCACTTGTAAGTTTTTCCCTGTTGACAGATCCTGAATCCTGTTTGTCTTGAAATGAACAAGGATGTTACTGGCAAACTGTTTGCATCAGTATGATGCATATACATCCAGAATATAGGATAAAGAGTCCCTACTGAGGAATACATACTCTATCCCAGGCTTCCTTAGTGACACTCACACATTAATTTGTAGTTCTGACTCTACAATGTGGACTCCATCATATCCCAAAATAGTGTTGCTGTATTTTCAAATGAACAACTTTCCCCGCATTACCCAGCTTAAACTGACTGTTATCAACCTACTACAGAAAAGTTTGACATTTTCCATTTGGATTCTAGCAGTACAGGAGAAAGTTTTAAAAACTTCTTATTTTAAAATTTTTGCATTAAACTTCTTCTATCTATAGTAACAAATACATTGCAATCACTTCTGTTACTTTCAAAATTGATGCAAAATAGACATAGTATGTGAACTCATGAAAGCAAAGCCAGTTACCAACGTAAAAAGGAGAATAATATGTTACGGGAAATATATCACATCTCGGTTTTGCAATGCTGAATAATATAAGAATATGCTTGCATGAAAACTCACAGATGTTGGTGGCAATTGCAACTACTATTACTTCCACAGATTTAAAATTTCTGTATGTTATCTCAGATTCCTTTTGTCATGTCTTCCTATATTTAACCATTGACGAAATATGAATGAAGAATCTCTAAACTGAACGTCATTGGTGTTATTACGGACCTGAAATGCTCTGCAACTAACTTAGTTTTGCCTCCTCATCCTTCACTGTTCTACTTACTTCTTTAACTTTTTATTTCTCCTTAATAAATCTCTTTCATTTTTTTTTCCTCTCCTCTCTACCGGTCCCCACTCATTTTGAGCTCCTTGGACAAACTTGTTTGGCTTTTTATTACAATATCCACTAACTGTATGACTTCTTAGACTGCCACTGCTTGTTTTCCTGTTACTACTTATAAATAATGCTGCTCCATCTGCCTCTTTGAAATCAGCAGCTGAAAGTCAGTGTTCAGGGCCTGACATTGTTTTTTCAGATGGCATATATTTGGAGACAGTTTTATTGATTTCCTGTTAGCTGCTTCTGGCAGAAAATAGAGCCTTGAAGACTCTCCACGATGCAAGAGCTATTTTCTCAAACCTGGTAGACATGCAAATAATTGTGCAATTTACGAGAATTTGTCATAAGGATCTGATGGCACCTTTGTTAAAGAGAACAAAGTGTAATCTTTCTAAAATTGTGTTCTTGTTACCATCTCCATCAAGTAGGGCTGTGATAAAATCTGAGAAAAATAGCTCCAGCTACCTGTTCACCTATGTTTCATAGATTAGGTAGTTTTAAGCAATTTTTTTCTTCTATGCAAAATACAATTTTTCTTTCCATACACACACTGCTTTCATTTTGTATCATATTAGGAGGGAAATTAAAACATTATCAATCGCACAGAACCTTAAGTTGATTTTATTTTTATTAATGCTAAAACACTGAAAAAAGTGAAAATAAGTTCAGGAAAGAAAATTAATAGTTTAACTAACTTCTTTTCCAAGTTAAAAGAAATCTTACCAGTGAATCCTGGAGGGCAAGCACAGCTGTAGTCTGCAACCAGGTCTAAACACGTTGAATTGCTTTTACAGAAACCATAAGTGCACTCATCAAAGTTGATTTCACAGTTCAGGCCTTCAAATCCTTGGAAATAAAACCAAAGAGCTATGCATTATTCAGCTATATCTGTGTCTTATTTTTCTAAAGCAATGTCTTTAGGTCCCTCATTTTCAATTTACTCATGTAAAAAAATTATCTTGAGTCCTTGGATTCTCATTCTAAAAGTTTTGTCTCCACTGTCATTAATAGAAAAATGCTTTTTTTTTTTTGTGTCAAATATAGTTTAAAAGGAGTCAATAAATGAAAGCACAAATTTAGGATTCAGTATGTTCATTAAAACTTAAGAACTTATGAATTATGTATCTGCTGATTTTGACAACATTACAGATGAAGTGAAGCTGGGATTTGGATATCTGCTGTCAAAATAAAAATCAACTCTTAAAATCTCTCTTAAAGTCAGTTCTCAAATAGTTGCTTTTCTATTTTTTTCTTTGTTTGTTTTACAGAACCCCAGAATTATGAAGGTTGCAAGAGGCTTTCCAGACCATCCAGTCCAACTGACAGCCCAGCATCACCACAACTCCCCTTGAGCCATCTCCCCAAGTGACACATCCAGACACCTCTCTCTCTTCCAGAGATGGTGACTTCACTGCCTCCTTGGGAAATTGTTCTAGTGTCTAACCACTCTTTCAGTGATTTTTTCTTAGCTTATAATATCAAATCTGAACCTCCCCTGACACAGTTTAGGGCCATTTCCTCTTATTCTCTAACTAGAGACAAGGCAGGAAAGACAGACCCCCCACTCAATGAAACCTCCTGTCAGGCAGTTGTAGGGAGCAGTGAGGTTCCCCTGAGCCTCCTCTTCTCCAGACTCAACCACCCCAGTTTCTTCTATCATAATGACTTTTAGCAAGCTCAGAGGCCAAAGCTTTTTTTTTGTAGTTGAAACTGCTAGAAAATCTCCTCTCCAATATCTGACTTTTCATGCTCTTGTAAATGTATTCTAATTAATGGTCATGCTACAAAATGAGTGTCATTAGTGCTGTCACAGGCCATGGCTGCAGGAAGACCATGACTAATGCTGAGCTATTGGTATCCTCAGTGCAAGCTATATTCCTATAATTTCTCAAACTGACCATGGAACCAATTTCCACTGATCCCTAAGTCATAAAACTTTAGAATTACCCTTAATTCATTAATAATGTATAAAATAACAGCTCTTATTTGCATTTAAAGTTTAATCAGACCCATGTCTCACAGGTAACATGTAAGCCACAAAATTGGAAATGTAGTTGGCAAAATTTATTTTTGTATAAGCTAGTCAGGCAGTTTAAACAGCAAAATGATCTTTTCCAAGGTTAATTTCCAGCTATCTTCCAATATCTGTTTTGGCTTCTAATTTAAGCTAACTAATGACAGAGACTGTATTTATGAGAATTATTTGTAGCAATTTCATCTCTTTTGATGAGTTTCTGAAGTTATCACCACAGGGATGCCTGTACTAATGCATGCATACTTGAAATATTGTCAGGTATGAAATCAGCTACCATGAGTCCATATTTAGAAAAAAATAGTATTTGAAGATTAAAATAAAAGAAATTTAAACATATAATGTATCAGGCTATAATTTACCACTTTGGCTTTATTTCTAACTAAAAATACATTTAAAAATATTTGTTAGGAACCCATTTGTGAAAGCATTTCAGAAAGAAACTATAATTTTAACTGCTTTAAAACATTTTAGCTTTCTTTGACTAATTTTTTTTCATACAGTACTGATAACAAAGAGCAGAGTGCATTTTTAAAGAAACAGACCACAGGTGCTAAAAATCATATTATTTTTCTCTGTTAAAATTCTAATAGGTTTTTTTAGTGATGGTCTGTTAAAGTCATTGTGACCATTGTAGCTTGCCATGATCAGTGAGAAATATGCATATTATTAATGAAGGTAACAATACTTTTTGTAAGGTTATGGATGATAATTTCCATGGAATTCATATACTGCTCATTTGTGTTTTCTCCACTGCTTCAAACTTTGCTAAAATCATTATGTTCTGTCTGAAAAAAGGTAGCATTTAGGAGTATAGCTGTCTCCATTCTTCATTTGTCTCCAATCTTAATGAGCATGGTTGTTTTGGTAGACACATTGACTTGGTGGACAAAGATGCCAAGAAGACTTTGGAAAGGAAAGAACAACTTTCATAGAAAGGAAGTTTTGATGATGACTTGATGCCTGTCAAGAAGATGTTTTGCAAACTGCAGGCAGTTTTGAATATTGATAATAAAAATAAATTATTTTGAACAACTTACCTTCAGGGCAAAAGCAATCATAGCTGTTGACATCATTCTGACAAACAGCACCATTCAAGCAGGGAGCTGAATCACACTCATTCATTTCTGTTTCACAGTACTGGCCTGAAAACCCTGCAAATGAAGTAAGATAAGCTTCGATTTTCTTTGTCATTATGTATGCTATAAGCATGAAACATGTATTTCAAACGGTGTTCTTTAACTAAAACCCAGAGATCTTACGATCCATATTCCACTGGATAAGGAAAATTTAGGTCAGAGTTTCAGTATTTTATTTACAAAGAGTTAAATTTTATTCATTTCTTATTCAATGTTACAAATACATCTTTATTGATGGAATAAAGCAACAAATTAAGTAGGAAATGCTTCCAGAATGCAAGAAGGCATTCATAGCTGTAAGAAAAGAGGGTAGCAATTTTCAAGTGCTTTTCTTGTATTAAAGTAATTTTAGTATTTTTGTGATATAATCTCAGAATGTTTTGGGTTGGACTGACTTTAAAGATTAACTAGTTCCAAGCCCTCTGCCAGGGGCAGGGACACTTTCCACTAAACCAGGTCACTCAATATATTTTTTTTTTTAAATTTTGCCACATTAATATGAGAAAGAGTACATCATTTATTTTCTATCCACTGTGAAGTCCTTATTGATGTGGAGAGTAACAAAATACAGAGTCCAAATATACTGAGGCATAGCAAAGATGCGCTGTGCAGGTCAGGCCTCAGGACATGTAAAATGCAGAGCTCAGTTATGGCACACTCAGTTAAGGCTGTTGGGTTTGTTTCTAAAAGACAGAAGGTGTACATCCTTAAAACAAAAATCTGAAGACTAATTAAACTTGCATAAGGAAAGAGTAGCTCAGTTTTTTCATTTCTTACAGGTACTTTGAGACACTGTACAAGGCACAGATGCTGCAGCACCAGCAGTGGGGGCTGCAAGGGGGTCTTGTCAGGAGAGGAACACAAGGATAGAAATTGTTTAGTTGATCTACAAAGCAAAAAAATATTGAATTAGCTTTTATTGTAGAGAAACAGGGCAGAGATACCCACTTGCCCCTAAGTTATATGTGTTAGACGAAGACAAGATGAATTGGTATTTTCATAAATAGCAACTAAAGGTGAAAGATTTAATCTGAAGTATAATGAAGAATTATTCTAAAGGGCATATAATGTGAATCGAGACCTATATATTTTAATTTGTTTTGATGATATTCAATAGCAAAGAAGCTTTGGTGGGGGGAGGTTAGAAAATTACTGACACCAATGAAATAAGCTCATACTTTATACACTTAAAATTTAAAATTCAGAGAAGAAGAAAATAAGTATATAAAGCTGGTTTGCATATGAGTGTATTAAAAATTGCATAAAATATTCCTTCTGCCAGTGTTTCAGAGCATTATGACCTTAATGAAAACAAAAGTGGTTAGGCATGCTTACAACTTACTTTGATTTAACTGTTACAGATTATCTTTTAAGTTTTAACAAGCTAGAATTATTTTCTAGAAGTTATGTTCTTTTGAAAATGTTAGCTTCTAACACCTGCAACTGAGAACTAGCTACCTAGAGGGAAATTAATTGAGATTGGAAACTTAACTATCTGAAATCTGGCCTATTAAGTTTGTTGGGTTTTTTATCATTATAAAGACAGAAAATTAACAAGTACAGAAGGACAGAGAACAGCACCCTCATCCTTAAAAATGGGGAAAAAATTCTTTTTTCAGGTTTTTTTTTTTTTTTTAACCTTTATGTCTATTCATAAATTATTTTTTGAAAACAATACCTGCTAGAAAGCTTCTTAAAGGAGCTACTGGGAAGCATATTAGGTCATTTTAGAAATAAATACTTAGAATTTTTATAGGTCTTGCTGATAGTGTTAAAATGTTTTAGGAACCACTGCTGCCACTTCAGGATCAGAAAAATGCCCTTATTTAGATCCTACCATGTGAAACAGTATGAAATCTGAGAAGTGACTCAAGAGCTCCCAGCTCTCAACAGGTCTGGCAGTGATGTTGCAAGAACTCCCTGTGATGAGCTGTGACCAGGTCACCCTCTCTTGGTAGCAGTGGAAATATCCAGCTGCTGCACCTGACATTCTGGGAATTTGCAGCAGGACTAACAGGCAAGGGGAAATATCACAGGGGCAAATGCAGAGCTGCAGGTAGTAGAATTTAATTTATAAAGATTTTCATTTACTTAGTTTACTTCATTGCTGTTTTATAAACTTATGGATTGGAACAGAAGAAATTAAAGGCATAACTAGAATCTGTTTTTAATAGAATTTGATGCATACAGCGTGAATTATCTACTCTGAAAGAGCTGAAAGGAAAGCACATAGAGAGAATTTTATTTCTTCTTGTCACATTTTTAACTGAATATGTCCTGCAGACACAAATCAATTTAAATGCAATTTGTATCTTAAATTATTTCTGCTGATGTAGAATTATTAATATAATATAATATAATATAATATAATATAATATAATATAATATAATATAATATAATATAACATAACATAACATGATATAATGTAATGTAATGTAATATAATATAATATAATGTAATATACTTTGATGATATTTATTTCTTGCTGATCAACATACCAACAAATGACAATTCTTTCACAGACATTAAATAACTCACACAATGGGCTGAAAGAACATGAGGGAAATTAAGCTTCATTTGTATTATTTTTAAATCAAGAATGAGTTGAGGAATGCTTTTAGTTGCATTATAATCCATGTATTCATACTTAATTACTTGTGGTATAACAAAATTAGGTAAACAACAAAATAGAAGAAATTAGTCAATTAAAAGATAAATATTTATGCATTTTTGATATAATACAAGTTAAACAGTTCCATTCATTTGAAAGTAAAAAAATAAATTTCTCTGTATGAGTGCTCCAAACCTTTGTGCTCTACCCTCTGGTCTCATAAGATGACTTTGGCAGAGCCAATACAGTGCTCTATGAAGCAGGAAAAAACTCCCATTCCTTCACCCACCCAGCTCCTCTCTCCATTAGCCAATGATAAGGGATATCCTGAATAACCTGATATACTCCTGAATAAATATTTCCATGCAGTCAAATGTAAAGGAGTGTGACCCATATATAAATCCTTTCAGACAGCTGAGAAAACATTTATGGGAATCTTTCATGTAAAAATGTATTGATATTATTTGTGGTTCAATCTAGAGCGCCCCTTAAAAATAATATAAAATTATATAATATACATATACATGTATAGAATAGTACAGTACTGTACAGAGTAGTACAGTATTTTTTATCATATCACATCAATCATAAGTAAGTTGAAGTTTATAATAAGTAATAGTGGTTTTATATTAGTACAAAAAGTAGGTAAACAAGTTATGTTCTCCAAAAATGTTTTGTTATTGCCTTCACTGAATGGCAAATCGCTATCCTCGGAGAATATAATAGATGATGCTGTTACACAACTTTCTCTACACTGAAAATGCAAGGGTAAAACACATCTGAAAGATTAATTAGAAGTATTAAATTATCTTGTTTCAATTATTGCAGGGAAGGAGTTCACAACTCAGAGTTTCTGGGGTCAGAACTGGAAAAACATATCACAATTATTTACTAAGGATATGATTTCATTAATTTTTTTGTCAACACACACACTGCAGTAAATATTTTCAGCTCTCAAGCTTTATAGCTCTTTATTTGGACTTCCTCCTCAGGTGAGGATGAAATATTTATTTCCACTGGCACCTGTCATAGTTTCCCTATCTAATGTAAATGCTAGATAAAACATAAACAGTCAAGAAAAGTAATAAGATTTACTGCTAAGTAATTATGTGAAAGCAACATTGTTTGCAGGACTCTTTTACATATATGAAGTTTTTTCAAAAAAAGAGTAATTTTCATAGAGTTGCTGATATTATCTTAAAATATGTATGCAGTTATCTGCCTCATAAACATATTTTGTATGTAAAAGCCTCAATGTTATTTTCTTTCCTGTAGCCTAATATTAAGGAATAAATCATATATAAGGAAAAATATTTTCTGTGCGTCATAAATAATTCTAGAAACTGTAGGTCAAATCTAAAAAAATAATTTGTTTCAATAAAGATATGAAATAGATATAAATTTCTAATATTTGTTAGCTGAGACTTATAATTCCACATTCTCATTCTCAGCAGAAAGTCCTCAATGAAAGAAAAGGGAATCTGCACTATTAATATGTCAGAAAAGTGGGACACATCCTCTCTGGACATCTAAATCTCATTACTGGCAAGAAATCTTTACTATTAAATTTTATTTTTAATAATAGATGTGTTTGTAAAAAGGAAAAAAATATATTTCTAGCTTTTGTATGGCTCTATTAGCTTCTACTAAATTTTACCAATACAAATGTGGTCTAGGATCATCTCAGGGTTTGAATGCAGGCACTCTACTTCAAAGTAGTAATTTTACATAGTAGTAAGACTCCTAGATATTTTTCAAGGATGAAAGCATGAAACTGAAAAATATTTTATGTTGCAGTCTTTAAAGTATCAACTCTTAAAATGTCAAGTTAAGCCAGTTACTAGAGTAGATTATATGTGAATCTCTTGCACACAGGTTATGCATTGAAAGATTAGGTGCACTGGGAAACTGAACTGTCTAAACCTCAGGTAATGATGTGTGAACTCTGCTTGTTGAGATCACATTTTTTTATGTCTTTGTTCCAAAGGAAGGTCATTACTTTATTAAAAACCTTCTCTGAGGTTAAACAGCATCTCAGCCCCCAGAGCTGGTTGAATTTTAGGCAGACAAATGTCACAGTATTTTCTATTTGAAATGCATATTGGCAGAACAAAAGGAAGAGTCTCATTAGAGAAAAGCACTTTTTCAGAAAGATGTAAGGAAGACAGGTCTTACAGTGAGAACCTTCTGGAACATCCTCCCAAGGGACATGGTAGGTGCACCATCCCTGGAGGTTCTTGGGACACAATTGAACAGGGTGCTAGAAACTCTTACCTAGGCTCCCTTTCTAAACAAAAGGGAACATCTGAGGTCCCTTTCCAACTGGGTTGTTCTATGGCTCCATAACAAAATCCAAACCTTATAAAACAGGCTGGTAGAATGGCAAGGGAAATAGAAAGCCTG